GAGAGGAGAGGAGAGGAGAGGAGAGGAGAGGAGAGGAGAGGAGAGATGCTGCTATTGGTCAGCAGGCATGTCTCTGTCTGGATCCAGTTTGCTTGTCTCTCCTGGAGAAGGGGTACGTGGTGCAGAGTGAGAAACAGAAGGGATCCCATGAGCTACAATCCCTTCCACTACTGGTGGTTCTGGTAGCCCAGGAGTGGCTACTCCCACTACTCCTGGAGGAAACCTGAAACCAACAGAAACATAGAAATTACAAGTTTGTTCAACAGAGTTACGCAAGGGTAATTGAGCTGTGCCCTCAGGCACCTGCTGAATACAAATCCCTCTTTCTAACATAAATGCTCTGAGATAGAATACAGCAAAAGTCTCCAGAGCTGAAGAGTAGCAGTTATATCCTAATACCAAATGACACCTGCTCTCAGACAGGCAGAGATAGTCTCAGGTCACATACTAAGCATTTGGAAAACAGGTACAAAGTTTATCTCCAGTGGAAAACAGTGAGGCACTGTAAAGGTAGCCTGAAGGGTTGGAAATTCCCTCCCCATCAGCTGGAGGAGTGCAAGCTGCCACTGGGCTGCAAGACAGAAAAAGTAAGGAGCTGAACTAATAAAACTGCTAGATGTAAGATGAAAAATAGGAGCGCGATACCCATGTATTGCTAATGAACCATTCTTCCATTAGTTCCATTCTGCCTCCCTGTGCCTTCTCCATAAATATATCTCAATCTCTGTACATCTCTCAGGGAAGGGAAGAGAAAGTATTTCCTACTTTGCAGATGGGAGAAAAACAGAAGGGAAGCAACCTGCCCACAACCACTCAGCAGGACTGTAAGACAAATAAACAGAAATACACCCTATTCAGGACTCTGCCCAAAATCCACTGGACAATGTCTCTGTAATAGTCCCTATTTGGGCTATAGATAAGAACTGTGCTTTGTTTATACAGCCCTAATGATGTAATAAGCACAACTTCTAAATGTTAAGATCCAGACCTCTTTTCAGACACCCAGCAGGCTTTCTTCTGTTAAGATATCTCTTAGGCAGGTCTTGCAAGGATTTGGAAAAATTAACCATTACGCAGCTGGAACTAAATATGACCAAGTAAACGTTAAAACCCAGCACAGCTTCAGAAGTGCTGCTGTAAAGTTTCCGGAAAGAGCTCATATACAGAGTACATAGGAACAGAAACACACCTGCTTACAGGTACAAGCAGTTCTCAAACCCAAAGAGGGATGTTGGCCTACTTCAGTAGGAAGATGGACTTGGAAGCAGTAACTTGGACAACCTACATATCTCACCTGTAAGCTGCAGCTCCGTTGAGTTCTGAGTGGACAGCTGCAGGATCAATACTGGACCACTGAGCTGCTAACAGCAAGTACTCCTTATTAACACAGTTCCTCAAAGCATCAGGTATGTGACCTGCAAGAGCAGACAAAAAGAATGACAAAAAAAACAGGGCACAGGTAGGAGTGGCTCGTTCACTGAAGCATTTACAAAGGAAAGTAGAAAGGAAATGTGCAATATCTTTTCTGTCTATCTCCACAGGATAACACTGGGCAGGGGAGATTCTCCTCTGAACAACTTGTCTCTGGAGACGACAAGAAACTGATCATCCTTCCCACTTCTATGATCTCGTGGAGATTATTGGCCACAAACTGCAACTGCCAAGCCTCAACTTCCCCAAGAGACAGTATGTACTACTCCAGAACAAAGGTGTACAGTATAACTGTCAAAGGAATTACTGCAAGGGATTTGGAAGATATACTAGGTACAAGGCTTTCCCAGGGAGGGAAAGTGCCACTCCAGCATTAGTTACAAGGTTCTCAGAAGGCAAAGAGACAATTATCAACTTATGTTCCAGTTCCAGAAATCAGTGACTGAATCTAGGTTTTCAGAAGAACCAGCATAATCCTTGCAGTGAACTAACAAAAGCAGCAGCTGCAAAGCACGCAATCTCCCTCATTACCTGTAATAGCTCTGCGGATCTCTTTAGCTGCATCTTCTCTGGATTCAATGGAAGCCTGCTCACTGTACCAGGCTGTGTGAGGGGTGCAGATCACGTTAGGTGCATCTTTCAAAGGCCCCTGAGCAAAGCTGTAAGGGGGAGTAAGAGTTATGTCTTGTTTCTCTACAGAAGCAATAACCCATTCTGTGCTCTTGGGTATCACCAACTCAACAAAAAAATCAAAAGAATCATCCAGCATAGGCGAGTCACAGAATAGCAGCTGGCATGCAGGTGCAACATTACCTGAAAGGTTCAGACTCATGCACGTCCAATGCTGTTCCTCTGATTCTCCCCTCCTTCAAGGCTTGCGCTAAGGCTTTCTCATCTACTAGCCCTCCCCGGGCTGTGTTCACTAAGAAGCAGCCCTGGCGCATCTGGAAGAAGAAAAATATTAAGTGGGTTGAGAATGAGACTTTTCATGGAAGCTAAGTGAATCTTGGGAAGTCTACTGGAAATGAGCAGGAGCCTGCAGTGATTAGATGAGGCCTGGAAGAACTAGGAGTGCTCTCACTGCAAAACTAACCACAGGGGAAATGCCTGCAAGCAATGCTTGAGAAATTTGCTTTACAAATGAACAAACAAAACCACAAGACAACAAGGGCAAAAGTGGAACTCTGAAATTCTGCACTCCATATTCATCCTTCTACATTAAAAAAAGAAAGAGGACATGAATCAAGTATCCAGCTACACAAAAATGGACTACAACGTCCAGATGTCTCTCATGAAAGCACTGAAAAGCATTCATAGACTAGTGGAGTAGAGCCCGAGACTGACTTTGCAGTGGGCTTGGGCAGAGAGGCTTTGGCAGAGCTGTGTAAAGAAACTTACATAGTCCCCAGCCACACCAAATCTGGCTCTAACCAGCAGAGTCAATTATGCGTTTTAAAGGTAATTTGAAATTATGGAATCACCTAAAGCATTCTTTGTAAATAAAATTAATCGGCAAAAAAAGCCAATCCTATTCTTCTCTTAACATGAAATTCTATACAGCACAAAGCACAGGCACCCGGATCCACACGCTCCCAGCCTCCAAAGGCAGCAGGAGGCACACAACAGAGGCAGCAGGATTCACACGCTCTCAGCCTCTGTGAAAGCAGCAGTTTCTGTTTGCATTCATTTCCACAGTGCTCTGTGGAGGAAATCAAGCTCCTGCTGCACCTGTTTAATAGTGAAGTCATTGATGAGGTGATGGTTATGTTCATTCAGGCTGCAGTGCAATGTGATGCAATCGCTGTGCATTAGTAGATCCTGCAGGGTTCCTACTCGTTGTAAACCCAAGGATCGCTCCACTCCATCCGGCAGATAGGGATCATAGAAAATCACGTTGAAGCCAAAGGACTTGGCTCGCAGAGCCACTGCCTGTCCAACTCGGCCTTCACAAAAGAAAACCCACAATCATCAAGGAAAGGTAAAACAAATTTTAAAGACAAGATACTGGGGTAGACTGGGAGCCTACACTGGAGTTTACTGCCAGGGCCCAAGGTACTGCAGCCCTGGAAACCCCTAGGACTGCCACACAGATCCAGAGGAGGTTATTCACTGCTGATCCCATATGGCTAATTCTAGTCCTTCCCCATGCAATAGCCAGAGCTTAGCCTAGAAGGAGCTCTGTTTTTCAAACAAAATCTGGACCCTGAGTCAGAGGCAGTAATAACCTGATTACAAGAACTTGGAGAAGGAATAAGTAGCTTTCAGGTGGCTTTGTTACTGATATAGAGCCCAGCACACAGGGAAACAGTCACGGAGAAAAGCTGTCTGAATGTTCCAACTCTTCTAGCCATTTGGAAACCAAAAAGAAAATCCCCAATCCCATGATATACACCCAACTCTTGAAGATATCCAGGATCACAGAACAAGGCACTAGCATTCCTTATGAGTCAGTGCTTTTCACAATGAACAGCTGTAAAATTATCACTTCTTTCAGTCTGTGACTCTTAGGTTCCCAAAAACTTTAACAGTTCACTTTTCAATCTAACAATTCCCATCACTTACCTAGTCCAATGATGCCCAAAGTCTCCCCACGGATACGCACAGCACCTCCAGCCACCTCTCGAATCTGTTCTACACTCGAGGCTCGATTCCCTTCCCGCATAGCCTGATGTAGCCAAGTAACACGGCGATAGAGGTTCAAGATGTGGCAGAGGGTGGAGTCAGCAGTCTCCTCTACTGAGGAGGAAGGGATGTTGCAAACTGCAATGCCTACAAAGCCATAGAGGTCATATAAGATTTTTAGCATCACAATGCTAAACCAACACAGAGCTCTTCAGGTATAAGTGCTGGAAGATAATTCAGTGCTCCAGAACTACTGTCAAGAAACACAGGATTCATTTTAGAAGCTCATTCTACAGCAACATAGATCATAGAATCATAGGTTAGAAAAGACCTCTAACATCATCAAGTCCAATCATCCACCCAACACCACCATGCCTACTAAACCATATCCCAAAGTGCCACATCTACACATTTTTTTTTTAACACCTCCAGGGATGGTGACTCAACCACCTCCCTGGGCAGCCTATTCCAATATCTGACCACTCTTTCAGTAAAGTATTTTTTCCTAATATCTAATCTAAACCTCCCCTGATGCTACTTGAGGCCATTGTCTCTCGTCCTATCGCTAGTCAGCTGGGAGAAGAGACCAACACCTGCATCACTACAACCTCCTTTCAGGTAGTTGTAGAGAGCAATAAGGTCTCCCCTCAGCCCCCTCTTCTCCAGACTAAGATGAGACTTTAACCAGCTTTTTAACCCCTCGGAAATACCATTCCTTCCTTATAAATACCCATCTGATTGACACACTCACCAAAAAAAAAAAAAAAAAAAAAAACACAGAAGTCTGAAATGAGAAAACTGGGTCATACAAGTGTATGCAAGAATAACTAAGACAGGTGGTTGAGCTCTTTCATGCCTCAGAGTCCAGATGCTCACTGCAAGCATCAGCTTCCCCAGGAGCAACAATAAGTAACCAACTCATTAAATGTAGAGAAAAGACACAGGAGCCTCTCTAAATCCATTTGAAGTTACACTTGAAAATAACAACATGTAACACTCCCACTCTAGAATAGCATACAACCACAAGGAACCATAAAACCCATGACTAGAACCATCAGGTAAATTACTAATGCAAACAGAGTTAAAGTCCTGGAAACACAAATTACTCCCAGGAAAGGGAAAGATGGAACACTGCAGCAAAATCTGGTCATTTTGGATGAGACGAAAAAAAAAAAAAACAAGGGGGGGGGGGGCTAGCAACATACCACTTCACAGCTGCTATCCTTCATTCAACAAACCAGCCAAGAAATAACTACATGAAAAAATGGTCTCCTCCCCAACGTAACCCTAGCCAGTTACCAAACCAAGGAAACTCTTCCTCCTCACATGCTCATCACCTATCTAAAAAGTAGGATCAAAATCTAGGCAATTGTCGAAGGCATGTAAAATTCAGCAATGCATTGCTCTTTTGTAAGCCTACTACAGAGGAGACATTAAACTACACTCATACCACTCTCTTCTGGAGAACCAGCAGAGCAATGGCCACACACAGTCTCAGATATCTGACTCCTTTTCTCTATCAAATCCTTTGCAATTGCACCATAATGCCACACAGACAACTTGGAGGATGTGAGGAAGGGAGATAGGGAAACCTAACTTCTTTTAATCTCACTGGTTACCATCTCATTCAACTTCAGACAAGCCACATGCATTTATCTCTTAGACAGCTAGACAGAAATTTGTGTTTCCATGCAATATTATGCCTAAGTGTAAGCAAATGCAAACACGCACAAGAGCCCTTTGGTTTGATTCAAAGATTCAGAACACATACGGAACAGTATCTTACCTCAGAATGAATTAAAGGACCTGGCTAAGCATGAAAATAATCATTAATTGTCTATGAAAAAGCAAATCTGGCCATGCATAAGGGTCATCATACTATCACTGCAAAGCAAATATGGCAAGCAGCAGCCTGATGGTGAAAGAACTTTGACCCATTTCTCTTTGGGTTAGAGCGTGGAGCGCGAAGGAAAGGGAAAGTTTTGAATCCGAATGAATCAAAGATATGGACAGTGACTTTAAGTAGAGAATCCTACAAGTAGATCATGTTCCAAACTCAGCCCAAAAATGTCATGGCTAGATGAGAGCCAAAGACCTTCCCAGGAACTCCTGAGACTATTCAGTTGAATCATTCAGATGAGAAGACTCTTTGGACCCAATTCAAGCACTAAGCAAATATGTACTCTTTATTTATTTGCAATTCATCTGTTCTTACAGATCTAGAAATTGTAATGCATGCTTCAACTTTTGTATCTAAATACTCGCATTTGATTTAAGCTTAATGTGATCTGCATTACATTAGAAAGGTTTCAAATCACTGACACAAACCTAAAAAAGAAGGGGCAGGGTACTTAGATGATCCACCTCACCTAGGAGACTACAAGGTCCAAAAGTCTCACTGCCATATGTTTAATAAATAGAAGCTTTTTGTCACCTGTTCCAGAGACTCTTCACATGCCTAGTGCTCTAAAGGGATCAATAATAAAGTGTGAAATCAGAAGCTACCTGCATATTAAAAAACAAACAGGAAAACTCACTTATCAAGCATTTACAGTGAGTTTATCCTGCATTAGCAGGCTGCTTTCAGACATCAGAGTTTGTTCAACTCTTTCCCCGCAAACCCCCCTCACCAACAGTTATTAAGACACAGTATTCAGGTTTCTGAATCCCAAACAACAGCAGACACCAGAGTAATTTGAGAATTGAGAATCTTTCTTTCAGGTGACCTACCAGCTCCAATATTGCTCAGCTTCCTAAAGATGCCTGATGCTAAAGAGATTGAAATCTTTTTACATAAAAGGTTTTAAATGCACTCAGCTATAAAACAGAAAAACACGTGCAGTGCTCCACTTCACATTCAGTTCTGATTGCAACAGAGCCCTAACGGTATCCTCGTACCTAATTCTGCAGCGGATTTGATGTCAACATTGTCATAGCCACTGCCAATACGCACAATGACCCTGAGGGCTTTGAATTTCTCCAGATCCTGGCGAGAAAGGGTAATGGTGTGATACATCAGAGCTCCTACTGCCTCATTCAGCACCTACAACAAAAAACAGTCCAAATCAATCTCTGCTTTGGTTACTCTAAGAGGCAGACCTCTATGTCCGAATGCTCGCATATTTTCTCACCCACCTTTTCATGGATTTCCTGAGTTGACTGAGCATCGCAAAATGCCACTGTAGCAACATCCTTCAAGATGGGCATCTCCACAGTGCAATCTCGTCCATCCAAGAGCGCAACCAGTGGCCGTGCTGGCATTGGGCCATTCACAATAGGAGGCCGTATACCTATCAAGAAAGTCAGCAGAAGTGATTACATTAAAGACAAGACTTCTGGAATCCTCATTTGCTAGTCCAACAAGTCACCAGTTCTGTTAGAGTTCTATAGTACTTAGGAAGGGATTGGCCAAAGCAAAAGAATAGGAAACAAACACAGGGAAACGAAGCTAGGAAAAATACCCTCTACCACCACTATATAAAGAAAAATAAAGCATGCTTTATCAATAATGAGATAACAGAGACAGCGTATTCGGAAGCACGCCACCTTACTCTAGGCTATAAAGCCACTTCAGCCCTGCTCCCCGTCAACCAGCCCTCCTCTCCCACCTCAGCACGCCAAGGTACGAAGTCTGTTTCCTCCTTCAGAGAGCAGCAGAAGGCGCACGCCCACGAAGCCTCCGCCACCCCCAGCAGCCGCCC